ACACCAATGCAGGGGCCCAAGCACTTGGGCCATCCTCCACTGCTTTCCTAGGCCATAACAGAGAACTGGAGCAGCTAGGATATGACCCGTCAACTACAAGGGATGCCGGCGCCACAGCAGGAGGCTTAGCCCACTACACCACAGTGCTGGCTCCTCTGTGTGTTTTAAAAAGATCCACGTTAAGCAGGATTCAAGTGCCTGCATGCCTGTGTGTCTGCAGTGAAATCATGTTTTAAAGCGGATTCAGCTGCATTATATTTAGAACTACGTGGTTGCTACCAGCTACCAGCATGTCTCCTTGCGGTGGTTCACTTCTCTTTTCTCTGTGTCCTAATTCCGCTGTAACGTGTGCAGGTTGGAGGAAGCAGCCTGGTAGGCCACACCTACCACAATCCCAGCTGTGGCTTCCCCAGAATCCTACTGTGGTCCCACACCAGTCCTTGTTCTCACATGTTGGTCTCTGATGCAGCAAGAAGTTTAAAATGTTGGGGATCCAGATTTCCCCTTGGCCAAGATGAATCAGCTTCCACTTGGGGTCTTGTCCTATTTGTCCAGAATAAATGGACAATGGGAGCTTAACTGGATCTGAGGCTTATCTACAACCATCAGTCAAAAGTTTTCCAGGAGAACAAAGGGGTCCTTAGGTATGGCTTCTTCCACATTAACGTGGAAGCACCAGGCGAAGGCGGCTCAAATGCAGATTTCCAGGCCCCACTGGGGTTTCTGATCTCATCCCTCCTCCCCTGCCCTGGAACAGCCTGGGAATCTGCATGTTAAGTAGACTCCATAATGTGATTCTGATGCTGAAAGTTCAAAACTGTCCTTGAAAGAAAATGGGGATTCTGGGTGTCATACCCACCCCACTACCCCAACCTTGAATATCACAAAGTACTACCACTGCCCCACCTTCCTTCCCTCTCCAACCTTTACGCCATGTGTTTAGAAGCATTAGGTATAGCCTTAAAGTTCATATTAACCCTCCATCGCCTAGGTGATAAGGTACACTTGGGGGAGGCACACGCTGCAATTTACTTCCCGTGAGCACACTGTTAGGAACGACCCAGGAGTCACCCACTGCTGAAGATTCAGGATAGGCCACCTGTACCTCTCGAGCTACAAAGTAGATGTCCAGGGTGCTACACAGTCCTGGGGTGACGGACAAGGCACCTGCACTCTGTGATGCACTTGACACAAGCTCTTCTGCAGGTCTCCCAATTTCCTTGTGGAAGTACACGTAGGCCCATCCTCTGAGCACACACTCCAAGTTCACTTCCTTGGACATCCCCTTCCACTTCATGTACATGTCAGGCTCTCCTCACCCCGTCTGGCTCCCATTTTTCACTTGTATGCACTTGCTGTCTGTCCAAGTTTTGCTTGAAACCCATGGTTCTGCGTGCTTGGAGAGAAAACAGAATTCAGACTTTTTGTGTACTGCATGTCCACAGCCAGAGAGACCCAGGATACAAATGCTCATCATCTCATCCTTCTGGTGGGGGCCATTTTCTGGTGTCAGGTGACCTGAGTTCAAATCCTGGCTCTGCCACTTGCTAGCTCTCTTATTTTAGACAAGTTAATTAAATTCTCTAGGCCAAAATTTCCTTATTAGGATTAAATGAGAAAGCTTGTAAAATATCCAGAACTGTACTTAGAACCTAAAATGAAACCCACAAATATTAAGTACCTTCTTTATTATACACACACACACACACACACACATACATATGAATGAAAGGAAATAGTACTCAAATTTCTCTCACACTGTGTGTTGGTCAGGGCTTTGAAGAGCAAGCTTCCAAAATCATCCTGGCCAACATAAGCAAAGAAGGAGTTTGGGAGAGGATCCTGGGTGGCTCAAAGGATTGCCGGGAGAGCTGAACAGCCTGGTACAGGAAGTGAGTGGGAACTTAAGAGAGGCGGCTCAAACAAGACAGCAGCCAAAATCACCCCTCGAGCTAGGCTGGTGGCTTGGCCTCTGCAGACCCTGGCCACTCCAGGCAGCACCAGGTCCCTGCTCCTTGCATCATGCATTCTGGATTTCCAGAAGGCTGTGATGTGACCTCAGTCTGGCTTGGGTGGCCCTGGGGTGGGGGGTGGGGGGTGGCTCTCCTCTTTCTGACTTCCATGGTTGGAATTCCTTAAAGAAGTCAGATGCCAGCCATCAAAGACCACAGTCAAAGGTCTCCTCACACTGCCTTTGCTGTATTCACACCATATTCAGTGATTCTCAGGTAGAGGGTCTTTCCCCAGGTGGCAGGAACCTCCTCCAGCCCCCACCACCTTGCTCTGTCTCTGTCCCCGCTGCCCAGAATGTCCCCAATCCCCGGACAGCCCAAATCTTGCCTGTTCTGCAAATCTCACCTTTACCGTGGCTTCCCTCTGCCTCCCCCCGCCCCTTCTCCAAGTCCCTGTTAGCACATTCTTCTCCCTCTCCTGGACCCAAGATGAGGCTCCGTAAGGACACGAAGTCTGTTTCATCCGTGTAGCCTTGGTTCTTAGCACCTAGTCGATGCTTGATATATATTTGTTAAGCGAAACCTGTGTTTCTCGGCTCGCTCTCCACACATACATTTTGACGCCTTTCCTACCGACAACAGACGAATCCGTCTGGAAAAAAAAAAAAATCCTCATGAATGTGCCATGAATGTGCCCCGCAAACCATTCCGCGTTGGTCAGAGGTCAGCTGTTACACATGGCTGTTTCCCGTTTTTCCACACGCCTGCCCTCATCCTCCCTCAGTGCCTCCAGAGGAAGAAGTTAGGACGCTTGGCTCCCTGCAAGTCTAAAAGGGAACCAGACCGAGGGGCAGGGGACAGCAGAAGCAAACACCCTTGTCTGGAGGACAAAGAAGCGACGTCAAGTCCCCGCAGGTGTCCCACCCCCGTCTCTCTGTCCCTCTCTCCCTCTCAGTCCGAGTGGGCTAGAGCCACAAGCTCCCACAGACGCCCCCACTTCGAGTCCCCAACCCACGCCCCAGCCAAGCTTCTCCGGGAAAAGCCGCAATGGGCGCTCCCTGCCCGGCGCGCCCAGCCGGGCTGCCTCCCCCGGCCGCTGCCCCTCTGCCGCTGGTGTACTCTGCCCCTGGACGCCGACCTCCCGGCCGCCAGGGGCTGGCACGTGATGGAGAAACTTTGGCAGCCGGGCGGCGGGCAGAGGCGCGGGGAGGCGGCGCGGCGGCCGAGCTCCCCCGCGCGGCGGGCTTTGCGGCAGGGAGGAGGCGTGCGGGTGCGCCGCGGCGGCAGGGAATGCGCCGCCGAGCGCCTCGCGGATCCCGCAGCCAGCGGCAGCGCGCGCTCCAGGCGGCGCGGTGCAGCGCCCGGCCCGGCGGGCGGCGGCGCCCAGGGACGCCCGGTGCCCGCTGGCGCCCGCGGCTGCCGCTCTGCCGCCGCCCGCTGCCGGGGGCTTCCGAGGAGCGGCGCCTCGCAGCCGCTTCCCACTTTGCTCACTGGGCGATCTGCATGGGAAGTTGGGCGCGATGGCCAGGGTCGTGTTGGCGTGGGTTGCGCTCTTCTGGCTAACAGGTAAGAGTGGTTCGCTGCGGAGCCGGGGAACTTTTATCTATATTCCCTGGTGGTACCGCTCCCTCCCCACCCCCCATGTCTTCCCTATTGACTGTGTTTAAAGCTGCTTAGCGGGATGGTGGGCGGTGGGGGAGGGGGCCGTGTGTGCGTTTGTGCGTGTGAGTGTGCATGCTGGGGGCGGCGGGGAGAAGCCGGATTCCAAGTGAGCCGGCTGGAGAGGCAGGTGTTTGGACTGGTTGGCGCTGCGAGGGGGTCCTGGGCACTGTGCTTCCCACCCTCACCCCCTCATACAGCGGTTCTTCCTGGGTCTTACCCTGAGTTTGTGAGGCTGTGAGTCTTGGGGAAAGCCTGCTGGGAAAAAACGGGAGCTGGGGGGGGGGGGGGGGGACGGCGGCATGATTGGCGGTGGAGTTTCGAGGCTGGCTGTCACTTGCGATCATTTGGGGAGTGGTCTCATAGTTCAAGGAGAAGAGCCTTTCTACTAGATGCAGCCCCTCCCCCAGTAAAGACCTTGTATAGAGAGACTAGGCAGCGGGGGGGCCTCTCCCCAGCCCAGGGGTCACTGCCTAGCCGGGCCCTTTGTGACCTCCCTTCCAGCGCTGGGAACTTTTCTCCATCCTCCTGGGAAGCCGAATGGCTCTCGTTCCCAACACGCCCCACGTGACAACTCTGTCCTGTGAGGAGAGGGTTTTCCCCTCTCCTCCCCCCAGCCCTCGCGCCCCTCACCCCTACTCCCCCTTGCCAGCCCTGAGATATTCACAGAGCAGCCTGCTGAGAGCAGTGGGAGGGGTGAGCAAGGCTTGGACAGCTTGGATCAGGTCAGAGGCAGAGGGTGCAAAGAAAGGCGGAGACAGAGTGATGGAGAAGCCCAAGCAAGGGGGCAGGAAGGTTGGGAGCATAGGGTAGGAGCAGGGAAGGGCAGAAGAGGAGAAGGAAAACCATACAGAAAAGGGAGACGTTTTGTCCCCTCTGGGGTCACCAAGATGATCTGGGAAAGAAGGGCTGAACCTCTCAAGTCGTTGGACGGGACAAAACGGGTTTAAGAAGGAAAGGCAGACCCTCCATTCCCTGTTCAGGAAGCGAATAAGGATGGCCTCAAGGTTTTCCCTATTGCCAATGGGAGGCTTCAACACTGCATTGCCCCCCCACCGCGGGGTTTGGGTGGGGAGGGGCACCTTCAGCGGAGTTAGCCTCTTATCTTGGCTGCTCTGAATTCATCCCTCCCACATTATTCAAAAATGAATCATCCCTAATTTCAGGGTTTGGATGATCCATGCCTCTCTCCCCCCCACCCACCTCCCCTGGCCTCCCAGTGCCTTCCACTGCCACCCTCACTGATTCTAAATGTCCTTAATTTGCCTCTACTACTCAGTTCTTGTATTCCCCGGAAGAACTTGGGCCTTGAGCCTGCCTCCTAGCTTCCCTGCCGTTGTCCAGGCATGGGGGGGGGGGGGGTCGCTGAGTTACAGGTGCTTCTCCGGGCACCATGCTCTCTAGGAGGGAGTGGGAGGAGAAGGAGGACACACAGCCCTGTTCATGGTTAACAGCTTTGTATGGAATGGGATCCTCTCAGTTCATAGAAATGGGGGCCCAGACAGGCAGCGTGCACACAGCCCCTTTGGGAATCCAGCAGAGACGACAACCCAGCTTCCTAGCACCCTGGGCGGTCCTGCTTGCCCTCTCCTAAGCCGCCTCTCTGGAAGGTTTTGTTTTATTTGTGTTTGGAGGGAGGTGAGGCTTCGTCCGTGCCTCCTGCTACCCGCACATGGAGAAGCCATTTGTGCTTGCAAGGAGGCAACAGGTTAGTTCTCAGGTCCGTCTCAGATGGCTGCAAGTGAAGCTGACTCCTGAGATGCCACTTACGGGCCACTGGCGTCCCCTGGTCCCGGCTCGCTCTCAACCGCTGGGTCCCCTCTGCAGTCAGAGGTGCTGCCGCCAACGGACTTGCTGCTTCCCTGCCAGAGCCAAGTGCAGGAGCTAACAATGGCGGCCGGGGTGGGGGCGGAGGAGAGAGGAGCAGTCAATGTGAGATGCATTCAGACTCATTCTTCACAGAGAAGCCCGGGGAGGAAAGGTAAGACATTTTAGTCCAGCCCAATCAATGAAGTCTCTCTTGAGGGGTGGCACAAAGGGAGGGAGAACGCAGAGGACAGATTAAAAATGAGACAGACAGCCAGGGGGAAAATCCATGTCCACTCTCCCTCTCCCTCTCTTTCTCTTTCCCCTCCTTATGTCTCTCTCTCCTTCTCTCCCCCTCCCTCCCCTCCCGCCCATTTCTCCTTTTTAATACAGGCTGAGCAATTTCTAATCAACACTTCAGTCCCTGCCCCCCGCCCCCAGGAACTACCAGCTCCGTCCCTGTTTCTCATGCCTGAAATCCTGTATTTCTTTCTGCTATATATTTAGTCTCATGATTTCTTATTGTCATTGTGATGCTGCTTCCTGTTATAGATTCTTGTTGTTGTTTTTGTTGCTGCTTTGGACAAAACCAAATGCTAATCAGCTGCTGGCGTCTTAGCAACAGGTGCCATCTAGCAGCAAGACTTGAGGCAGGGTGCATGTTGTCTTTATTCCCGGGTGGCGTGTCACCCTCTCCCTGCGGGTGGCAAGGCTGTGAGAAACACTCCCTGAGCAAGCGGTCTGGGTTCTTGGAGACTGTCTTAGGTGTCTCTGTGATGGAGACTTCTTCCTCTGTCACCATTTCTTTGGGTGGTACCCTTTGGGTTTCATTCATGTATTTATTCTTCCATTCCATGAGCATGTATCGCATTGCTGGGATTTCTGAGTGTTGTGGTGAGAGCTGAGAGAGTAAAGCACTCAGAGACATAATCCTTGCCCTCAGAGGGTTGTCGGTCTGGTCAGTGACTCAAGCAAGTGCTCATGTCATTTCGATAAGGTGTTGCCATGCAGCATGGAGGAGGCAGCTTAACCCCCAGCCAGGCGTGCAGACAGCAGCTCTGAATGGCAGTCCTGGAAGAGGTGATGGCTGAGTTAACACATTGATTTATGCAGCGTCAGTTAGTGAGTTACCACTATGTCCCTGGCATCGTGCTAAGATTAATGACATGAATAAAACACACCCCCTGCCTTCGAAGAGCTCAGTCTGCTGGCAGAGACAGTTATAGAACTGTGAACACACAGTTAAAGAGTAGTGTTCTGGGGCTGGCCTTGTGGCACAGTGGACTGGGCTACCTCTTGTGACACTGGTACTCCATATCAGAGTACTGGTTCAAGTCCTGGCTGCTCCACTTCCAATCCAGCTCCCTGCTAGTGTGCCTAGGGAAGCAGTGGAGGACAGTTCAAGCGTTTGGGCCCCTGCCACCCACATGGGAGACCCAGATGGAGTTCCAAGCTCCTGGCTTCAGCTTGGCCCAGCCCCAGCTATTGCAGTCATTTGGGGAGTGAACCAACAGATGGAAGACCTCTCTCTCTCTCTCTGTCACTGGACCTTTCAAATAAATCTTTTTGTTTTTTTAAGAGTAGTGTTGCCATGGAAAGAACAGGTCATCAAAGAAGGAGGTACCTTTCTCTGAAGGGAGGAGAGAACCTCCACTTTGACTATGACCTTGTCTAAACAAGATAAGAGTCGGAGAACTCAGAGGGCTTCCATAGCCTTGGAAACTCATGACTGGAGCATAGGGAGATTGCTGATGCCATAGACAGGAGTGTCAATTGGTAAAGTCAACAACAGGAGTCACTGTGCACTTACTCCTCATGTAGGATCTCTATCCTTAATGTGCTGTACATTGAGATTTAATGCTATAACGAGTACTCAAACAATATATTTCACTTTGTGTTTCTATGGGGGTGCAAACTGTTGAAATCCTTACTTAATGCATACTAAACTGATCCTCTGTAAAAAAAAAAAAAAAAAAAGAAATTATCAATTCCCAACTTGACTCTCACTGGGATTAAACATGACAATAGGTCTGCTCTGATTTCATCATCATTTAAAAAAAAATCATCTATTATTTTTCACTTTATGTTTCTGTGTGGGAGCAAACTGTTGAAATCCATACTTGATGTATACTAAGCTGATCTTCTGTATATTAAGATAATCAAAAATGAATCTTGATGTGAATGGAAGGGGAGAGGGAGTGGGAAAGGGGAGGGTTGTGGGTGGGAGGGACGGTATGGGGGGGAAGCCATTGTAATCCATAAGTCGTACTTTGAAAATTTACATGCATTAAATAAAAGTTTAAAAAAAAAAAAAAGAGTAGTGTTGCACAAAAGTAATAGTAGAGAACTGTACTAAGTATTGTCGGTATTGTGAGAGGCTTTTAACTCAGCCTGTGGGGCAGGGAGATGTCGGGGAATGGTTGTTGCCTGGAGTCCTGGTGTGAGGATAGGCGTGGTAATGACGGTGCTCTTAGTCTTGGAGAAGAGTCACTTACAAAGCTTACCTCAATGATCTCCTTTCCCGTCCTGCATTCCTTCCAGCCCCTTCTCTCCTCTGCTCTACTGTCCTCCATGGAAACATCTTCTTTAAACACTTAGCACTGCTGTCCCCACTCCTGACATCCCCTTCTGTGGACTAGGACGGGAGTTGCCTCAGGATCATCACCACTCAACAGTTTTGACATGTGACTCTGCTGGCTGTCGGGTGTGCATAGACTTGAATACTACTACTAGTACTTAGTGCTTAGTGGAAGGTTAGCAGAATCAGTACATGACTTGTTAGTTGTGAGAACCCTGACCCAGGAGTTGAGGGTTGGAGCCTCATCTCAGCTCCTGTATAAATAACTTTACAACTGTGGGAAGGTTTGCATCTCGGTTTTATTATCATCCTTTGAGGTGATTTATAAGGTTACTTTCAGCTCTAAGGTTCCATGGTTCTAACTTTTCTTCATTTAGTTTTGAAGAGTTGGAACTCAAAGCTTAAGAGTGTTGGGCCCTTGGGGTGGGTGTTGTGGTGCAGAAAGGTAAGCTGCCCTTGGGACCCCTGCATCCTATATCCGGGTGCCTGGGATCGAGTCCCACCTCTGCTTCTGATCTAGTCCTCTGCTAAGGCACCTGGGAAGGCAGCAGAGGACGGCCCAAGTGCTTGGGTTCCTGCCACCCATGCGGAAGAGCTGGATGGATTCCTGGCTCCTGGCGTCAGCCTGGCTCAGCCCTGGATGGGGTATTTGCAGGTATTTGGGGAGTAAACCAGTCAATGGAAGATCTTACTCTCTCTCTCTCTCTCTCTTTGTTTCTCCATTTCTGTGTGTCTCTCTTCCTCTGACTGTCAAATAATAAATAAATAAGCTTTAAAAAATAAGTGGTAGGCCTATGTTTCCTTTTATAGTTTACCCAGTGAACAGCCTTTAGGGAACCCTAGTTTTCTGTAGATTTTCTTAGACTATTAATGACTAGAATGAAAAACTCCAGCTAGGAAGGGAGAGCTCTGGTTAGACTTTTCAGAAGAGCAAATATTGTAGCAGCCAGTACTCGGTGGACAGGATAGGATCTACTCTCCACACTTAAATGTTGGAACTGGCCAAGTCAGGCAAGTACTCTGGACCAAATAGGATGGATGAATACTTCTCCAGCCAACATGGGCTGAGAATGCTTCTTCCAGCCCTAATTCTTTGTTCCAGGACCCATTTGGTTCTTCACTCCCTCCATCTATTTCAGCCTTTATGCCTCCTTTTGTCTAAGCAGGAATATAAAGAAATGTATGAAATGGTTGTTATTGTTGCTTATTTGCACCCTATAATGCTTTTCTATGTTTTAAATGGTTTTCATATACATTATCCCATTTGATCCTTCTAGGTAGGTAAGATGTTATTATCTACTTATGTTTAAGGCTCAGAATAAATGATGACTAGTCCAAGTCCATGCTATCTGTAGTAGTCCATTTGTAGTTGCTATAATAAAGTACCTGAGACTGGGTACTTTAAAAAGAAAAGGGGTGGCCGGCGCCGCAGCTCACTAGGCTAATCCTCCGCCTGTGGCGCTGGCACCCCCGGTTCTAGTCCCGGTCAGGGCGCTGGATGCTGTCCCGGTTGCCCCTCTTCCAGGCCAGCTCTCTGCTGTGGCCCAGGAGTGCAGTGGAGGATGGCCCAAGTACTTGGGCCCTGCACCCGCATGGGAGACCAGCAGAAGCACCTGGCTCCTGGCTTCAGAGCAGCGTGATGTGCCGGCCACAGCACGCCGGCCGCAGCGGCCATTGGAGGGTGAACCAACGGCAAAAAAGGAAGACCTTTCTCTCTGTCTCTCTCACTGTCCACTCTGCCTGTCAAATAAATAAATAAATAAATAAGAAAAGGGGTTTGTTTAGGTCACAGAGTTGGAAGATCAAGGGCGTGGCATTGGCATCTGCCTGGCTCTGGGGAGGGCTTCATGGTGGATGGCAATGGAATGGCAGGAGTATGTGTACAAGAGATCACATGGTGAGACAGGGAGCCAATGAGATTCAAGGGCCAAGCTTGCGTGGTATAACAACCTACTCTTATGCAACTCACTCTTGGAGATCAGCATGAATCCCTTCCGGAGCCAAGGCCCCCAGTCAGTCACTGACCTTCTACTGGGTTCCACCCCTCGAAGGCTCCACTGCCTCAACACTGCTGTACCGAGGACCAAGCCTCTAACACGTGATTCCCTTTGGGACACACTCAGAGCATATCTCAACCATAGCACGATCTTGATGATTAAAAGAATAATCGCACTGACTTGGTTGTTTCAAGTGCTTGAATCTAAGCAAAGCATTGTTTTCTAACTAAGATGTTATCAACTTGGGCTCATGATTTAGAGGAACACATGGCATCTGTTATGGGGCATTGGGTATTGAGGTTCAGTTTCAACAACTAAGAGAAATAGTGCAGGGCAGAATATTTTTTGTAATTCAGTCCTGCAGCGTGTGACAGAGGAGTGAATGAGGAGTGCCCCACGGTGCAGGGTGTGCCCCAGTGACAGGGCACATCCTGCTGTCATTTCAGAGCCCATCTGGGGCTAGGGCTGCTGCTGTGCACCCAGGAGCCACTCGGGATGTAGCTGTGACATATGCTTGAGTAGAATCTTCGTCTTAGAGATTGTTTTTGGCTCTCTGAAAATGAAAGAAGGCATTTTGGATGACTAGAGTTCTTTATAGGC